CAAATATAGATCTCTTCCAATTGATTGGCCAGGTGGCTATCTTCCAATTTTCTTAGCATAGATGAGTGAGTGCTTCCAGTGAAGCATCAGTTTGTTGAGAAAGATTTCAATTTGTATTCCATCAATTCTTTGAGCCTTGTTTTTGCCCATGGCATCAGTGTAGCTTGGACTTCTTCCTTCAGTATCATCCATTCTTGATCGTATGCTACTACCAGAATTGGCTAAATGTTGACCAGTTCTTTCTGGCACTATCACTCTGTGTATTCCTTCCATCTTCTTTTGATACTTCCTGCGTCATTCAATATTATGCCCAAGGAATCCTTCAATATTGTAAGTTGAGCCTTGATTTTTTTCTTTCAGCTTATGAACTATTGAGCATGTTCTTCCCTTTTGGGTTTCTAACTCCTGGTCTCTGCATGATTCATTATAAGCTTTCTTTTCTCAAGCTGCCCTTTGAAATTTTCTGCTCACCTCGTTTACTTCCTCATTTCTTCCAGTTGCTTTGGCTTGTCTACATTCAAGAGCAAACTTTGTAGTATTTCTGACATCCTGTCTTTTTAATAACCCATTGCTTTATTCATGTATGATTTTCTTGATGTCATGCCACAACTCTTCTGGTCTTCGGTCATTAGTGTCTAATGCACAGGATCTGTTCTTAAGATGGTTTTTAAATTGAGGTGGAATATATTTACGGTCTCATGGACTTGCTTTAATTTACTTCAACTTTAGCCTGTACTTGCATTGATGGTTTGTTCCAGTTTTGATGATAATACTGAGCTTCTCCATTGTCTCCATTCACAGATGTAGTCAATTTGATTACTGTGTAACCCACATGGTGATGTCCATGTGTAGAGTGGTGGTGGTTGTATGCTACCGAGTTGGTTCTGACTCATAGTGACCCTGTGGTAAAGGACTTTTGAGGCTGTAAGTCTTTATGGGAGCTGAAAGCCTCATCTTTTTTCCAGTGGAGGACTGGTAGATTCAAGCTACTAACCATGTGGTTAGCAGCAAGGTCAGCAGTTGGAAACTACCAGCTATTCTGAAGGAGAAAGAGGAAGATTTTCTGCTCCCATAAAGATTTATCTAACCAACCTGAGCTCCTTTCCACATGTAAGTTGTTGCCTTTTATATTTTTGAAGAAAGTTATTTACAACAAAGAAGTCATTGGTCTGGCAAAACTCTATCATGCGATTTACACTAACATTTCTATTAACAAA